TGAAAACTCTCTTTTTAATGCTGGCTGGAAAGTGTAATGATACAAAGTTCAAGAGGCTGGGTATCTGACACTCCAAGGGGACATGAGGGAGGCTTCTGGAGGAAGTCGTGTCTGAGTTAAGTTTTAAAGAATGAAATGATCATGGTGACTTATACATACACAACCCACGGTGACCTTATCCGTCTGTGGGCAACATAAAGTGAAGGCTTCACTCTGCCCCAGGTATGAAGACATTTGCTCTGTCCCTCTGAAGCACATGCTGCTGACTTCCATGGTCCCAGCTCAAGGGAACTTGAAAAAAGAAACTTCTAAGAGGAAAGGGAAAGGAGAGGAAGGAAGGAAGGAAGGAAGGAGGGAGGGGATGAGAGAGAGAATGGAAGAAAGGGCAGGGGAGGGAGGAGGGAGGAAAGTAGAACGGAGGGACAGCATGAAGGACAGAAACTGGAATATTGCTTTGTGCTTGCAATTTCACTGGTCTGCATTCGTACGCAAGCACAAAGACAGCACATTGCAAGTCAAAACAATATGTCAAGGCAGTATGGCCACACAGAGCTGAATCCAATGACATTCCTAGAGTCCTTTTCATAGCTGCTTCCCAGAAAAGAATGCCACAGCTCCACCAACTGTGTCCACGCTGACCTTTGTTCGAGATGTGAGCCAAGGGAAACTTGGGCTCAACAAGAACTCAATAGCTATGTTCCAAGGAAATTCTTAAACACTTAGAGGTGTTTTGTTGTTGCTGTTGTTGTTGTGTGTGTTTGTGTGTGTTTTATAGAGAATGAACTTAGAATAAAATCATGTGCTTATTTTACAAGGTTCTTTATTTAACACTTGGGCAATATGGGAGCCATTTAAGAACAAACAATCTCATGAGACTGCTTTTTAATATCATATGTAGGCACTCTGGATGCCTATGATTTGGATGAATATGGGTTCAAATCCTTACTCTGACATTCACTAACTGTGTGAGCTCAAGCAAGTCACGGGACTTCTCTAAGCCTCCGTTTTCTTATCTGTCAATGGGGGCAACAATCTTATCATCTCCAAGGGTTGGCTAAGTAATTTTTCCAAGGTTACCCAGATAATAAGTAGCAGAGCCAGGGTTCAAAGACTGGTGGTCTACTTTGCGGCCTTACTTGGTCACTAGATTGTAAGATCGCTGGGAGGAGTTGTTGGCAACTCACTGGCCACCCATAGAGCCCTGTGCAGGAGAAAAACAGCCTTTCTGTTCCTGCAAAGAGTTACAATCTCGGAAACCCACAGGGGCAGTTCTACCCTGTCCTGTCGGGCCTCTAGGAGTCAGCATGAAGTGATTTTAGAGCACTGTAGACTCTCAAAAGAAAGGTTCCTTTTGTCAGTGAGTTACAGCTCTATAACAATAGTAGATGAAGTCCTTAGAGGACAGATAAAGACATACCACTCTGGCTTTCAGAGCCACTAAAGAGAGAAATTTCAAAATTAAAAAAAAAAATCTGTGGCTGTTGACCTTCCTGAGGGTCAACATTATAGGGTTAATCAAAATAAACAATTTCCAATAAGAAATACATCTCATTCTGGCTCTATCAACCCTTCTCTGGGGGCCTCCCTACCACCTCCAAGATCCTCTGTCCTGTTGCCTGCTTGACTGCTGGCAGCAATGAGTATACATGCCGACCCTAACCTTTTAGCGCTCACCTGAACTTCCAGGGACCAAGCACATAGGTGGATGCTAATAGCCAAATCAACAGACGTCTTCCAACCAATGCCTTTGATAAGTTTTCTATAAAGTTTTTCTCAGGGTTTCTGTTCCTTTGGATCTCTTCAAGAACTCAAAAACAAACTCACGGCCATTAAGCCAACTCTTATAGCGTTTCCTATATAGAGTTTCCAAGGCTTTGTAAAGCTACAAATGAGACCAGGGCCACAACTTTCTCCCATGGAGTGGCAGTGGGTTTGCATGGCTTCTACCTTTAAAAAAGTGGTAGAAATGGTGACAGCCTTCCAAGCTAGAAACCACCTTTATGTAGACAGGCAAGTACAACCTAGCGAAAGGTTATTCCAGCTTTATACACTGAACAGATTATTTCTTTGGGTCCTTCCATCTCAATGACTACATGAGATACATCCTATGTCTGAGATTTTAAGCAAATCAACCAGATGCCGTCAGTCAAATAAACATTGCCTTCTTGAGAGCAGGGGCCTATTAGAATAGACCCCTTTTCTAATGATGCCCTTGTCTAATAGTGTTTCAGAACTTTCCCTTGGACGTCGTCTTCACGTCTTATCGCACATCTTACTTCCACCGACTACCATGAAGTCGAATCCCACTCATAGTGGCAATGTCTAGGGTTTCCAACACTGTAAATATTGATGGGAGATATCAGCTTCATCTTTCTTCTGGGGACTGTTATCAGTACAATAAGATTCATTCTTTTAGGTGATTTTTGAAAACTAAGCAAGCTGACTAATAAGCTGCTGCTTTATGTCAAAAACAAGGAATAACTATTGTGTGATGAGACTGAATTTCAAGTGTGGTTTGTGAACTTTCTCGGAAAGCCATAAAGAAAAATAAATGAGTTACTTCCCAAGAAGATAATTTTGAAAAACAGCTTTCATTTGGGTAAACATATTTCTAAGGTTTTAAAATATTTTATTGTCTCGTCCACTATACTGCTAAATATTCTCAATTGAGAGAGGGTAGTTGGAACGCCCACATCCACAGTAGAGTGTACAAATGTTATTTTCTAATGGCAGAATATCTAAATCTGTCTCATTGCTGAGGTCATGTGGGGCTTGGAGGGACAGAAGGGGTTGGGAATTAGGCAACAACTAAATTTATCATCTAAAGCAGAAAAATGAAACTAGTGGGTTGTTGTTGTCGGGTTGTTTTTCTTTTCTTTTCTTCTCTGCCTGTCACGCTCACTTTGTGTCAAACAGAAAGAGCTGCCGTCGAGTTTGCTCACTGGAGCTCTTCAGCCTCGGAAAGAGTAGACATTTTCTGGGCCCCTGCTATAAAATGGCACGTTGAATTTGTTGATCAGTGGCTTAAATTTGACCGGTAGCGGATGCGGAGGTGGTCTTCTCTTCACCTTTCAGCCCATAGAACTCAAGCAGGTCCGCCTGACCAGGCAGAGCCTTCTTTCCCGTTGCTCTGTGACTACCTCTCCCAGATGTGGATGGATCCTAAGGGTGGATGCAGGGGATTTGAATTGTTGGAGACTCCTTATGTTCCAGGCCTGGGGTGATTTTAAGTAACTCCTTCTCTAGAGCTTGGGAAAACAAAGGGTACTTGGTGTTTCACAAAAAGTCTCCAGTGGCTGTTTGGCTACTTGGAGCTAGCCTTCTGGCTGAGACTTTCAGCCCTTCCTGGTGGAGGGCCAAAGGACAAGGCAGGAGAAGGATGCCGACCACTGCGGATTTCTCTGCAGGCTGCTGAAGAGTTGCAGAAGGTGTGAAAGGGTTATCGGTTGTCCGTGACTCCTGAAACTCACTCCGGCCATGTTTGCCTCTGTGAGCCCCAACGTGATCTTTTTAGAGCTCTATAATCAGACACTTAAATATGTGAATTTCTTCCTAACATCGCATCCCTGAGACTGAAGTGAATTCTATATTTGGTCTAGAATTCTCCCATCTCTAAAATTCCTGGGAGGGAAGGCAGCCAGTGAGTTGATAGTTTGTTGTGACTGAAACATAAATTTGTTACTTTTCCACTCCGTTCAAAGCCAAGCTAGTCAATCATGTATTGAGATCCTTCCACAACCTCACTCGATTTATTATCCCACATTATCCCTACTCCTCATCAACCCTTGGCTTGATTTAAGAAAGTCTCCCAGTGTCTTCCTTCCTTCCTTCCTCCAGCCTCCCCCTTCCCATTTTAGCTCCTCTGTTCAAGGTTTTGGTCAAGATCTTTCTCCTGTTTTGAATGAATACCTTTCTAGATTAAAAACTGAGATTGGGTTCTGTTTTCCTGACAGAACCATGATGGAGAGAGGCAGCACTTCCACCAGGAGTCAAATTAAAAGGCTACCTTCCCTTCTCCTCTCCTTTTCTCTTCAGCTTACTGGCCTCAGCAAGACCATTGTATTGTTCAGCAAGCAATTTTATCCTCCCAAACACACAAGAGTTGATGGACAGATACCACCGATTGATTAAACTATTGAATTGAAGGACTAAGACCATCCTTTCATTTTATCTCTCCCCACCTCCTTTTATGTCATAGAAATAATTATTTCCTTTGGAAGAACATGTTGGGAAGATGAATGCATGTCCCTGCGTATACCTAGAGGCCCGGAGGTAGCATCTTCCTGGTTAATCATGATCCTCGATCTCCTATTTGCCGTAAAGGCTCAGAACCCTATTTTGTGGGTATGAGGATAACGACACTGTTGTGCCGCAGACTCACATTAACCATGCTCAGAGAATTGATATGTGAAGCCAGAGTGCCAATTATTTAAAATGAAAACGATAGTGCCAGATAGACTAGAACACTGCCATCAACATCATATAGGCAAAGATCTTCTTTCTATTTCTATAGGCAAAGACTCACGGGAAACCCAATTATAACCAAGGGGCAGCATGATGAATAAGGAATCAAAGCTAAGAGGTAGGAGTCCGAGATTAGGATCGATGTTGCTATCAGGTGCCATCAAATGGGCTCTGACCCATAGTGACCTTAGCACAACAGAACAACACACGGCCCAGCCCCACGCCATCCTCACCATGGTCCTGATGCTTGAACCCCTTTGAGCAGCCAGTGTGCCAATCCATCTCATTGAGGGCCTTCCTCTTTCTTGCTGCCCCTCTGTTTTATCAAGCATGGTGTCCTTCTCCAGGGACAGCTCTCTCCTGATAACATGTCTAAAGGATATGAGGTGACGTATTTCCACCCTTGCCTCTAAGGAGCAATTCTGAGAATACTTCTTCCCAGAGAGATTTGTTTGTTCTTTTGGCAGTCCATGGTAATTTCAATAGTCCTCGCCAGCACCACGACTCAAATGCATAGTTTCCTTGTCAGTCTTCTTTGTTGGATGCCCTGCTGGCACAGGCATATGAACTGATGGAAAATGCC